ATTTTTTTATATTCTCTTATACAAAATAATTTTACATTGTTTGACCCCGAATCTTTAATTTATAATTATTAAGTATTGTTTATCCTCCTCTTTAATTTATAATTATTTTTTTTGTTTCCTCTTTTTAAATAGGAACAATAATAGTTTCCACTTCCGTCATTGAGTGACTCAAACTCGAGGTCTATTTATAATATTATTAATTTAATATTATTTCCGTGCATCGCACAGGTATACACTAGTTAAACAAAATGTGCGAGGAAAACTTCACAAAGCAAATGAAAAGAAAATCTATCATCTAATCATTTTAAAGATAATGGATTTCTAGTAATAATTATGAATTGATTTATATTTTATTTTATTTTTTCAAATCTGTATAGATAGGAGATGAGATTTTTTAAACACCTAAAATCGTATGCAATGGGATTTTGTAACAGAAGAGATAAGCTCGTGTAAATTTATACTAAAAATAGGAAAAAGAAAAAAAATATTTATTGTTAAAACGATAAACTAAGAAACAGGGAAAAGAGAAACAAATCTTTACACAATTAATGAACGGATTTTTTTGCCTATTTAGATTTGTCCAACAATTACTATATATAGGATCTATTTAATGATTTTGGCGGAAAAAAGTTTCTAAATTTGTAAAAAGGTTATTCTTTTTATATAATGATAGATTTTCCGCCGGTTCTCCTTGAGAGAAAAATCTCAAAATTTCTCTCTTTTTTTTTTCTTCTCTTCTTAATCTTTTGGCACCGATCTTATTGGGTTTGTTGATGTTTAGATATGTTTCAATGTGTTAATTTTTTAGCGTTTTCAAGTTCTCTAAATCTTTTCCGTTCCTTTAGTCTCTCTTTTCGCGTGCCTGCGATTTGTATGAAAAAAATTCATTTATTTTTGTTTTTATTTTCGTATTTCCTTCAATTTAGGTTCCGATTTAAGTCGTGGCTTATTAAATTGTGTGGTTAATTTTATATGCTATTGATAATATGGTGTTCGTCGTCAAAGGTAAAAACCTCTTATGTCTTTCATTTATTTTTTGGGTTGGACATTCAGTTATAATTGTATTATTATTATATATATTTTTTTGTGGGGATTTGGTTATTTTTGAGGCATTTGATTGGATTTCTGATATGTTTGGGGCTAACGGTGATGAGCTTGACGGAAAAGACATTTTTTTCAGGTAATTTGTTCATTATTTTCTTGTGGTTTAGTGATGATGGAGTTGTACCCTACCAAACGCCGCTCTCCTCAAATTCTCCCGTGATGTCCCGTCTCGAGATGACAATGGCCAGGTCCTCCCCATCAACAGCCTCTGGAATACCGCTATGGCCCACCTGAACGACCCCGAGTTCACTGACCTCAGGAATCTCCGACTGCAAGTCGGCCCTCATTTGCAGGGGCCTCCGAAACCACCGCTGGCTAGCCCGTGACCAAAACACCTACATCACTTACTATGCTGCTCACATAATCGGCTCCTACACAATGAACTTCGAGACGTTTTCCGAGGCTGGTGTCCAGGCTGGCGTTGTTCCCCCTCTAATCAAGCTTTTTCGCGGTCGACTCACATGGGTCAAGCAGCGCATGTCTGTGTGGGTCCTCGGCCACCTGGCCACCTATGCCATCACCTTCCCGGCCGTAGCTGCCCACACAGAGGTCGACATGGAGACGTGGAAGTCGCTTTTATGTGACCCATGCTCGGATAGTGGTGGTTTAATTTGCTTGGGTGGTCTTCGTGAGCGATATGCTCAATTTATTCACTTTTAAAATTCTACGCCATTTTTTCCTACATTTATGTTTATTTCTAGCGTTTTTCCTTTTGAAATTATAGTAAAATGTTTTCACTGGGATGTTCTCGCCACAAGCAATAATTTTTTTTTTTCTTGACGCACGGTGGATGTTGTCACAGTAAAAAATAGTCGTTATAATTTTGTGTTTGTCACTACGTATAAGTTGCGAGTTTTGAATTCATGATGTGTTCGAAATTCTAACTGGTTATATTATGATTAGACAGGGGCTAGAAAATTGTAATAGGATGTTGCAGCAACAAAAGTGTATGACAGGAGATCAATGAACTACTTGATCCAGCATTGCGTATTCTTGAATTTTTTGTGTGTATGATCGTTCTCGGAAGTATAATATCCTCAAACCTGAACAGGTCAATTCTTTCCTTATTCATTAAATAATTTATTCATACTTATTTCTGCTTGGGATTTGTGTGATCTTTGAATTAGCATTATTTTTCAATTTATTGTCTTGATCTGTACAGAATTATAGACGGGTTTATCTTAGGCTCAAGAAATGGTAATACACTTCAAACTGCATTATTTGTGTAGTATTTGTGTAGTAGGCAGTTGAATAAGATTATCTTGTTTATTGATTTCCCCTCATTTTTAGGAATGATTTATTTAGGTATTTTGTTTGCATGTTTAATTCAACTTTACGGATTTAGTTTTGTTAATCTTTCATTGGTATATATATTGAATCATGGGTTATTGTTATTTCTTTCATTCTAATGTTATATTGGTAATAATTTTGTTTCCATCTTTATGATGATTACTACATATAATAGTTATTGGATATTTATTTATCAATTCGTGGGGATGTGTTTATGTTACCTGTGGGAGAGTATAACTAACTATTCTCACTATTCACCTGAAGGTAATCTGTGCATGAATCTGAATAGGCTAAGAAGGATGAGTGCTCAACTTTTTAAGAAACTTCTATGAAATTCTTAACCATTATCTCTCTCTCTCAGATAGTTAATCATTGATTTAGAAAAGATCCATGTTAAATAGTTGATACTTCCCCAGGTTTAAATAGTTATATAATTGTAACGGTGATTGTATGATAAAGTTAGACTTGGCTAGCAAATTACTTTTGAAATGAGCAGCGTTGTCTTTTCTTAGTGATGGATTTGGTTTCCGGGTGAACCTTGTTAGACATGTTGTTTTCTCTATTAGTGTGGATTCTTGTTTTCGAGACTGCCTAAAGGAAGTTCAAGAGGATAAATCAATAAGTTCTATCAACATGATAAAATTTGGGCGTAAAAGCTATAAAAAAATTTGCTCTTATTTTTGGACTTTGCTTGGTTTCGGTGAGACATCATTTTGGTAAATGAGATCTCTTAGAAATAGGAGATTACTGAAGAGCAGGTGATATGTATAAGTTGTTTAGAATGCTTGAAATTCATGAAAATAGCGTAAATATCTGCTTTTTTGTAGGCAAAAGGATATTATTTTTACCCAAACGTTTGTTTTTGGATTCAAAATTAAAGAGAGGATGCTATGTAAAAGCAACAGGACCACTACTGGAATGTGGTAAGTCATTTGTTTTCTTCACGTGGGTAATCAAAGTTGTATACTATATTTGATTTTCCTCTATGATAGTGTCTTTTTAGTATCTCATGAATTTTGAGATTATGTAGATCAATGAAAATCATATATATTTACTTGGGTTTGACTTAGCATCTGTGGAAAAATAAACTCCACCACCAACCAATAATGTGCACTACCACTACCCAATATATCGTTATTATTATTGTTATCATCATTTGGATTTCTTTGAGTTGGGTCTGCAAGCATATTCTCTTCCTTGCATTTGTTTCGAAAATATACGCTCTTCCTTGCATTTTTTTTTTTTCTTTGACTTACCACAAATCTAACACTTATCTTATATCTATAATTCTTCTCTAATAAAAAAGAAGTGACTTCTTTCCTATCTGACACGTGTCCAATACATTTGGTGAGGCCACGTCTCTTGTGTTCAAAACGGCGCCGTATCGTATCAAGGACAAAATGAAGCCCTTTCGGATTACGGAAAACAATGCTGTTTTGTATTCCTTTATTAGTCATTCGTCATCTAATTATTAGCATGGATTATCGGCAATTTTTTTCCTCTTTCTGTTCTTCCCCTAAATTTTTTTGTTGATTCATTAAAATCGATTCTTCATAAAGAAACGTCTCAAAATTTCCGTTCTTTTATTCTTCTTAATCTTGTGGCACCGATCTTAGGTTGCTTTCAATATTCCGTCACATTTCATTAATTTTTTTTTTTTTGACATTTGTATTTGCATGGCGCCACTGCACATTGGGTTGGCCGATGCTTTAATCTGTTCCAATGCATGTCTTCACAAGTTTGTGAGATTTCTCTATCCTTTTATTTAAATTTATTTCAGATTATCTAACATTTTTATGGTTGGCCTTTCATTTTTGGGGTTATATTTTCCCGTCAGTATCTGTTATATTTTTTTCCCTTCTTGGAAATTAAGGACATTAAGTCGGTCGACCTTCTGCTGGATACAAACAGTCAGGCAGATGCATACCGAATAAGGTGGATGGGACCCAGTGGGCGAGCCTACTCGAGCAGCTCTAGCACTGGAGGTTCAAAAGGTGAACAACACAGGTGTTAAAGAAAAAATTTTCTATTTAAAGTTATTGCATTTGGACATGGGATTACTTTTGCAGTGCTTAATAAAATGTTGTATGCTTCGATTGACGACAACCATTTTCGACTGTGGAGACACCGGATTACATTGCTCCGGTGGTCGTAGGAACAAGTTCGGATTTTGTAAAGGTTTGAATTGGATCATACTATCTAAATCAATAGATTTTTTTTTTTTTTCTAANAGTTTTTTTTTTTTTTTTTTTCTAACTATTGTTAATTTCAGGTCAAAGTCTTCTTGCCTTGGTATTTATTTGCCTGTGGACTTGGGGTTTCATTGCCTTTTGATTTCTTTTTCCGTCTCTATTTTATTCATTTGGGTTGAATAATGGGCTCGGTTGAATAAGACATTTGAAGAAAATTGCGGTAAAACAAATTAGCTTTTGTGCTTCTTAAATTTACAACTTTTGAATAGCTCTGACGACCATACATTGACACTTAGACCTTTTACATTTTGTTAGTTTAAAACCAAAAAATTTTAAACATCTACCCTCACGTAACATAGATGTTTAGAAATTATGTGGGAACTGTATTATCTATAAAGTGTTTGGTAGCACTTTTTATATATTGTAGTTGGTAATGGTTGTTTGACCATGTTTTGACATACTTTGGTCTGAATCCAAACAACAAAAATGTTGTGAATGTATAATGTATTTTCATAAGCAATCTATTTTACCAAAATGTATTATACTCATACTCATAATAATAATACGTTAGAGGCGAGCAACTAAATTGGGCCGGCCGTGCTGTGCACGGCGAGAGCATCCTAGTTACTAATATAATACAAAAGAGATAAGTACAAGACTCAAGCAAGTCTGAGTAGGTTATTACATAAGCAAAATACAAAAGAAGTAGGTCTATAGACCGCGGGGAACCAGTTCCAATCGATAGTGCTCCAGAAACTGAGCTCCAGTTAGCGACGATAGGAAGGAGGCCTGACCCTCTTCACGAGCTCGCGCCACTCGATCGTCCGTCACGGACTTCAGCTCGTCGAGCTGCGTCTTCAGATTCGCCACCTCAGCGTTCGTAGCTTCGAGTTTGGAGGTTAGGGCTGTCTTCTCCTCCACCAGCTTAGCGAGCTCACCTTTCTGGTGGTTGGTCAATGCCCGGATGGCAGCCTCACTGTTCACAAGCTCCTCCTTTAGCTTGGCGACCTCATCAGAGTCGCCACTCAGGGCTTCATGGAGAAGGGGGGCTAGGCCGGACATGGCCTACAAAAAAAAAGGTAAAGAAGGGCAAAGAAGAATGTGTGGGGATTAGACTGATAATAAAATACAATCCTAGATCGGGACCACTGAGTTTATTTTTTATGATGAAAAAGCATTCTTGGTTCAGTTCTCCACCTTAAGGACAGAAAATTTTTCCACCTTAAGGACAGAAAAAAAATTTCTGATTGATCAAATTCTATTGAGTCTGACTCATCTTAGTGATCATTTATCAAAAAATGACTCTGGTTATTATCAAATGATTGAACAATCGGGAGCAATTTCTTAGATTTTTGCAACTACGGTCATATCGTATCCGTATCAAACCCGCTGGGTTGAATTTATTTAGAAATATTCAAATTTTTGTTTATATATTTATTACATGGACATAATGGTTGATTATGTAAGCAGCTCGGGCCACCTTGTCGCCCGACCATCGATCAGTCTCTCCACTGGGGAAGATGGAGAGAAGGAAGGAGGCCTGGGTAGCAGCGTCCTTTGTCATGGAAAAACGGCCAGGCTGCTCTTTCTCCTCTGTCGGCTTAGCACCCAGAGAGCTGAAGAAAGAATCTGCATTAATAAATAACCAAAGCCAAAGCCAAAGTTAGTAACAGATCAAGGTCGTATAAACATCAGCCAAATAAGTCACTTATGTAGAGATCCATGCACTTGAGATAAAATAATTTAAGCCCTTCAATTGAAAAACAGCAAAAAACAAAAAAAAAGAAAAAAGAAAAAGAAAAAGAAAAGGTGCAAACATCCAAACAGTATGCAAAAGAGAAGTCATATCATACCTGGATGAATGATCTTATCACGGACCTCCAAAGATGGCTTATTGTCATTCACTGGCTCATCTTTAGGCACAATCGAAGCTTGACACTCAGTATTTGCCTTTCCTGTTGATAAAAGGATGCCGCCAGGCTCAATCTTAGGCTCTTTAAGACATGCACCACGGGATGAACTCTCAGGAGCTGGCCTCTTTTCTCGGGATGGGAGTTGAGGAGAGTCAACTTTCGTCCCTCTTTTCTCGTAATGGTACCCAAGTCGAAATTTCTTGGATAGCTTCTCAGGCTCTTCAGGTACCTGAGCTTCTTCCTGAAAATAACCATCTTTTGTTTTTAGGAAATGCATGTTGGCTTAATGATCGAGGAATAAAGGGATTGATGAATAATGTATGATCTAAATCATAATCTTAAAAATGCTATAATCCATACAAAGTGCTACTAATTACTATGACAATCACCTACTTTTTCAGTATTTACAATCTTCTTTGACTGCTCTACTGCCTGCAGCAAGAAATTATTCAAAATATTAGCACTTAAGTCATCTTCCCATGTAAATGAATGTGTAAAGGGAATTAAAAAAAATGAAGATTGATTATAAAAGCACGTCTAGCATCAATATATTGAATTACTAAACACAATTATGAAGCAAAAGGACAGTTACATCATTATTCAGAGTCTTCTTTGAACGTTGTTCTACCTGAGAGACAATACCACATAAATCAATCTCGGTTTGATTAAAATTACTTGAAATTTTAATAAGAACAGGCAATAGAAGCAGAGATACAAAACTAAACAAGATAACTCAACTACGACAATTGGGAGAAGGGAGCAGAAAAACATGGAAATAAAGAGAGCTAACACATGTTCAACCTGCAACACTTACTTCTCGTTGATCTCTATCAAATATAGCATCAGCAAGGGCCCTATAATTTTCATCTTCAATTAGCGCCCAGTTTTTGTCATACAGTCTCAGCAAATTCTTCAAAACAGGCTTCACTTTTTCTCCAGAAATATTTAAAGCCTTCATAGCACGAAAGGCAGCAGCAACTCTCGCTTTTGTTTCCTTGCTCATTTCTAAAGATTTTATGTTGCTGACTCCAAAACTCCTAACAAACATCAAAGTCAACAATTTCAGCAAAGCAGGACTAAGGTAAGAATAAAAAATGCTACCTACTACTCAATTTGTTGGAGAAAACATAACACTGATAGACCTAGTAGCATGTACACAGAAATCATATAATGAGATGCACAACAAAGCATATAACCATATCGACTTCAAGTCTTGAAAAAGGTGATGAAGCCTATCCTAGGGAAAGCACATCCCTTAAAACCCATAAATATCTTGATATGTGCAATCATTATAAGGTTAAGCCTATTCGAGATGGACCATGATATGTCATTGGCTGGAAATCAAGATTTAATATCAAGTCTACAAAATCCGAAGGCAGAGAACCGCTGTTTAGCCCCCATTCTAAGAAATAATGTGTATTATAGACACAAACTAATTTTTCACTAATAAATAAATCTTGTTATTCAATGCCCTTACTAAGAAATCCTGTAGCAATGTTCTTGTTATTCAATGCCTTTTCTTTACTTTGTGTAAAAATATAATATCTAACCACAAACACAGTAGACCTTGACACGGGATGTCGCCAATAACCAAATAACATATGAAATTCCTGCTAAGACGGCATAAAATTATATGAAGACAGAAGTTAAAAGGAACAGATAAGTGATTGCAGCTAATAGAATGCTTCAGCATCTAGCCCCAATCAAGTAGAAAAATTATAGGAAATCTTTTCCCTAGCACAGAACAAATGTTCTTGAAATGCTCTAATGAACTTCTAAACACCACTAAACCCACTTCTAACAAACATGCCTTTTGGATATCAGGGTCAACTTATACAGTTATACTGCATGCTTTTTCAGCAACCAGAATCTAATTTGACATTCTAACAGGTACTTGAAAGCACGATTTTCTAGGTTGTATATTAAAGCCCCCACGCCCATAATTCAATTGCTATTCATATATATTGGTTTCTTGAGGGCTGCAAAGGTTACATGCAATACAAATGCTATCCATATATCCATTTTTCACGTTTACTAAAAGGAGTTAAAAAAAACATTTTGGGACAGAAAAATCGAACTTTTCCCAATCAAAATAAGTCGACATGAAGTAAAACCAAAATTCACCTTGATACCTCAGATTAAACAAGTGATATTACGGTAATCTAGGAGATGCAAAACCATAAACCCAACAGGAATTTAAAAAAAAATAAAAAATAAAAAAATAAAATAAAATAAAAAAGAAGAAAAGAAAGAATTCTACAAAATGTGCAGCGGGGAGGAATTTGCCAAATATGCTTATCATATTAAACCAACACGACGAGTTAAAGGGCAAACATCACCAAACGAAACAAATTTTACTGCAAAAAGAAAAAAAGAAAAAAAATGCAAGGATTTATTCACGTTACTAACTGTACTTATGAAACTGAGAAATGAATGCAGTAATTAATCAAAGNGAAATAATGATACGAACAGACAAGGGTTACCAGCACGTTCGAGCGTCCACTGTGCTTACAGGAGGGTGTATTTCAATGTTTTTAAAGAAAATGTTTTACTTTCCCCGACTTCTCAAATTCTCGGGTAAATTAGAACTTTTGAGAGTGAAAAGTCTAAATGCTATACTGAATTGACGTTTAAAATATTTTTTATAAATTTATAAAATCTCAAAGTATTTAATTAAAATTCTTTGAGAGCCCTTAAGTCAACTTTATGAGACTCTTAAAAATTGTTGTAATAAAATTAAGAAAATAAAGTCTGAGCAGAAATCTAATCAAATTTGGTTTAGATTTTGGTAGATTTATATGACTTTCTTCATACTTTTTTTTCTATATTGTTATAATGTACACGATTTTATATTTTATATTACTTTCATACTCTGTTATTTTGCTCATTTATTTCAATAGCTTATGTAGTTTTTATTTTCATAACGAATATTTAATGTGATTAGTTTATTTACTTATTTGCTATTATGGTTATCTTATGTTTATATTCTTTTATTCTCTCATTTTGCTTGCTTGTAAATTTAATTTTTCAAATGTTAACCCCGCTCTCGCCCTAATCCCCAATCCCCAATCTCTCGCTCTCGCCGGAAAATTCGATCAGATCCCGTGCCTTCCCTTCGGCTTCCTTTCTTGCTTGTCGTCGTCTCCTAACCACCCGGCCCCTCCCCTGTGTCGTGCCCCCCCTCACTATGCTCCGGTGTTCTTCGGTCGACAGAACTCGGTTCTCCCTCCTTGGCTGAGTCGAGCTGCTCCCCGATTGGCGGCGCCATAGTGGGGTTTTGGTGGGTTGCGGTGCGGTGGGTTGGGGTCTGGTTTGGCTCCGGCGGATAGCGGTCTAGGGTTGGAGTGGCAGGGGTTGCTCAGGTGGGTCTGTTCGCGTTTTCTCCTCATTGGTTCGGCTTGGCGTGGCTGATCGACATCCTCCTCCGTGTTGGATTCGGTTCAGCGGCTTTGGGCTGGAGTGTCGACTTCGGGCCGGAATTTCTGGCTTCGGGCTGGGGTTTGACTTCGGGCTAGAGTCTTCGGCTTCGCTGGTCGTCTTGGTAGAGCAGGGTGCGGTTTTAATAGACTGTCTCTCCTAGCTCTTTCGGTTGGGATAGAGCCGTTTCCGTGGACGGATTTTCCTGCAGCTCCGGCAACTTGCGAGTCCGGGCTGGTGTGGCCGCGGCTGAGACGTTGGGAATGCTCCACTTTCCCCGATTCTCTGGTGTTGGGTTCAGGGGCGCTCGCCGTTAATATTGTGTCCGCTAGTGGTGTTAGTCGGCCCGGTATTGCGGTGGTTGGGAGTTTTCTTGACGTTTTCTGGCTATGGGGAGAATTGGCTGTGGGCGTATTTTGATGCTTGAGATTAGGCTCAGCTAGGCAGTTTGGCAGTGGAGGGGTCGTATTTCTCGGGCTGAGGGACTTCCATGGCTGGTTTTGTGACTACAAGTTGGGTTTGGATTTGTCGAAGTGGAAGGGCTTTAATTTCCTTTTAGTTTCCTTCTTGTTTGTTCCTTTGTTTGATTTGTGTGGTAGGTTGGTGTTTTTGGTGTGGGCTCGTTGCCTGTGTATCAATGTTTGTGTTTTTGGTTTGGGCCGTTGGCCCTTGTGAGCCCGAGTGTCAAACTTATTACTCCGTGGGGGTCCGACACTCGGGTATTACTCCGTTGGGGGTCTTGTTTAGTTTTGTTGGTGTAGTTGGTTTAGTGTGGTTGTGTTTTTTGTTGTTTTCGTGTTGTCCGAGTATTACCCCGTTGGGGTCGGCTCTAGGCGATCTCCGGATCTGCCTCCCAGTTTTCTAGTCTCTGGTTGTACTATTCAGCCTTTGGCTGCTTTTTCTTCGCACTTTGTGCGGTTTTATTAATATAGTACCTCTATCGTTTCGGGAAAAAAAAATGCTTATATAATTTGCATCTGACAATAATTATTTGTTCTCGTTTTTTGTTTGTAATTTTCTATTTTTAAATATTAAAATACTTATTTTACTTGTTGAGATTTTATTTATATAGAAACCCAAATATTTTGTTAGATATATTCTCTCATTATCAGTGATTCCGCAAGTTAATATTTATGACAACAACATTACCATGACTAGTGAGTCATGTGTGAGTGTCCTGTATGGACCCGAGCACCGGAGATGAAATATATATAATTAAATAATAAATAGTTCAATTATTTAAAGTTGTTGGTAAGATGTAATACAACCAACTAAATTCTTCTTGAATAAGTAAAATAAGAAATTCAAGTTAAAACCTATATATAATGAGAATATACAAATAATCATCTCAGTCAAATAGATTATGTAGCGAACACTATATAAAAGATTATATAAGTTAGCTTATGCTTATAGACAGAGTTAGAATGAAACTCTAGGTTAAATACCAAAGAGTATTATCTCAACTTGTAGATCGAGCATCTCCTAGAAGGAGTATTTTTTACGCAACCAATCTACTTAAATCTCTTTTTACTTAGAGATGTAAAATTATAACACCAATGAGTGTTAAATATTTTGAATCTGGCAAATATTTATAACGATCCAAAGAAATTAATGAGTATATTATAGGACCTAAAGTTTCAATAAACTTGAAGTCCTCAAACGACCTGAAGTTTATTTACTAAGTACAATTAAACTAAACTTTTATCTCATAAACAACATCAGGATTTATCTTCTTAAAGTGATATTGTGATAAACTTTAAAAATATCTCATTACGGTTTCTCATTACGATTTCGTGTATGTTGAGTTATCTCTGGACTTGATATATGATATTAGTATATAAGGACATCAATTGTATAATTGATCCCCAAAGTACTTAGTCATTGATTAGTTATATATCTCTGAAATGATGTTAACCGTTTATCATTTTTATTAAAGTTTTTTTCATAATTATCTTGCAGATAATGTAGCTTGTGTTACCCAAATAAATTGTGAAAATGCAATTGATGAATTATTTTGAATCCACATCTATCATTATATAAAAAGAATAACCTTTTTACAAATTTAGAAACTTTTTCCCGCCAAAATCATTAAATATATCCTAATATAGTAATTGTTGGACAAATCTGAATAGACAAAAAAATCGGCTCATTTTTTTTAGTTTATCAAAACCGTTGTTTGACAATAAATATTTATTTTTTTTTTCCTATTTTTAGTATAAATCTACACGCTTATCTCTTCTGTTACAAAATCCCATTGCATACGATTTTAAAAAATCTCATCCCTTATCTATACAGATTTAAAAAAAATAAAATAAAATAGAAACCAATTCATAATTACTACTAGAAATCCATTATTTTTAAAAAGAAAAAATAAAATAAAATAGAAACCAATTCATAATTACTACTAAAAATCCATTATCTATTTAAAGAAGCTAATTTTCATCGGTCTAATTACTAATATTTTTACAAATATTATAAGCTAACCATACAAAAAAGTATAATAATAATTTTGAAATGGTGTGTAATTAAATTTTTTTATATTCTCTTATACAAAATAATTTTACATTGTTTGACACCAAATCTTTAATTTATAAGTATTAAGTATTGTTTATCCTCCTCTTTAATTTATAATTATTTTTTTTGCTTCCTCTTTTTAAATAGAAACAATAGTAGTTTCCACTTCCGTCGTTGAGTGACTCAAACTCGATGTCTATTTATAATATTATTAATTTAATATTGTTTTCGTGCATCGCAGGGCAACTATTTATTTTAGAAAGTTCTTATAAATGATACTTGATAGGCTCTTCCCTTCAGAGAAGGGATAGAAATGTTTATAAATGATAAGAAATGTTTAGAAAAACAGAGCGAACCGGCCAATCCAACCAATTGAACCAGGAACCGTCCGTCAAGTGAACCGGGGAGAGAGCTTCGATCCATAAAGACATGTAATCTAACCCACTGGAATTGGAGCAGTGTAAACAATGATTTTACGAGATTCTGTATATCAACCCATGAACCTCCTGGTCTATTCCCGGTATTGGATGGCGGGCCTGTTCTTTCCTTCGCTGTAATTGACCTGAACTTGGGATAGAGTCTGATTCTCCCGCCCTTGGGTCGTGGGTTTCTGGTCATAGTCTTGAGCGGAACTCCTGTAATAGAAGATAATAAGAAGAAGGTCTTGGCTGGGTCTGGCTTTTTCGATTGCTCCCCGTTGAAATGTTTATAAATGATAAGAAATGTTTAGAAAAACAGAGCGAACCGGCCAATCCAACCAATTGAACCAGGAACCGTCCGTCAAGTGAACCGGTCAAAAATCGATCAGTGGACAATCAACCAGACAAAATCCAGTTGGTGAAACGCTCAATTTTCATTTTTGTTGTAAGACAACGACACATTTATAAAGCAGCTCTTTCATTTTGTTAACCGATGTGGGATTGTTAGAGCATGTTTGATTGGGAAGACTAGACAAGATTATGGGCTTAGTCTGGGCCCAATTTTACATTTGTTTCCCATGACTGCGGCCCGCATGACTAGATGAGGCCCATAACCCAAATGAATTATCTGGAGTATTGCCGATTATTTGATCTCGGGTTGGAGGTGAGATTATTTGCATCTGTACAGTACTTATTTGATCAAATTACCAAATTATCCTTATAAAGTGAAAAACGTTACCAAATTATCCCTATAACTCATTAAAATTTACCACTGAAAAAGCAATTGAAGCTATGCTTAAGCGCACAAATTCTCCATACTTTATTTTCTTTCTACCTGCTGGGCCCATGTCTCCAAATTGAATCTCGAAGATCAAAATGTTGATTAAGAATTCTTCGAAGTTATGGATATCTTGTTTAAAATCTCCAAATCCAGCATCCACCCGAAGCCTCCACTGGCCAGCGCAGCCTCCTTTCCCGTCGACGACGAGAAATCACGAACCCTAGTTGGAGCTTGAATGAGCTTGGTGGGGGATGCGGTGGCCGAGAAGTTGGATGAGCTGGTGGGCGTGGTGGTGGACGTGAATAGGCTGAGCAGGAGCGTCTTGGCCGGCGTCGCGAGCGCCACCACCGTGTACCAGGTGGCGTTGTTCTTCGAGGCGGTGTCGGAGTTCTTGGTATGGTTTCGAGATGCGAAATTGGTGATCGTTTGAAGTGTGCGAGAAGCATGTCAATTGATGAATTATGACAGATTTGAGGTTTCTTGATCTGGGAATTAGGGCAAATTTTGTTTCATGATGTGGGAATTTTTTCTGATTGAGCCAAGTTGAAGTAGATTACAGATTAAAGATGGAGGCTTATGAAGTTAGTTTTCATTCACAGTCCTTGAGAAGTTCTTGAGGTTGTGAAATGGGGATTAGGGATTAAGTACTTGAGTGTTAATGGGAACATTGAATCTAATATAGCAGGTCTACACATTCTTTCTGAATTTGTTGATTTTTTGGCTTTCATATTTTTGTTAAATTAGGGTCTTGCTTGCTGTATAAAAATGTATATAATCTCCCTAAGTTCATCCAAGCAAATTTTTCATTTCTTTATTTTTTTTCCTTTAGTTTAAGCGAGCCACGTCATGGTGCCAAGGAAATTTTCTTTTTCCTCATTTTTGAGCCACGTGCATGCTGATGGAGTGCCAACTACCAAGAAAATTTTCTTTTCTTTTATTTTTTCTATTAGTTTATTGCTTAAATCTAAGGAAGCCATCTCCTAACACTTTATTATGTTAATAAATATAATATTTATGATTTATGAATGTAAATTGTTAAGCCATCTCCCAACAATTTATTATGTTAGTATTTGTGAATGTAAATTTTGATTATGCTCATATAAATGAGCTCATTAGTTTTATATTTATTATTTTTTATAATTATCCTAATTTTTATTATATATTATATATTTAAAAATATTAATAAATTAAATAACGGTCCAACCGGTTCAATCACTGGTTGGACCAGTGAATCACTGAAACGGTTCGATGATCAGTTCGGTTTTCAAAACCTTGGGGATAAATAATCCGAAGATCGAGTCGAGCAGGTTAATTGTAATCCTGAAAATTATGCCATGTTGGCCTATGTTATACTCTTTTTCTCTTAGCTACGTTTTTTCCCATTGAGTTTTACTTAGTAATGTTTTTAACGAGACATCAAGTGGAACACATAAATTTGTATACGTCATGTACTATTTTCCTTGACTATTCTTCCCACTGGGTTTTGTAGCGAGGTTTTTAACGAGACATAGACATGATGTGGTAATGTCCAAGGGGGAGTATTGTAAATAATTATTATTTGTGGACATTATTTAAATATAAGTTTAGTAGTATGGGTTAGGAGTCCATTAGGTCATTAGTAATGTACACTGTATTTTACAATATATATACAGGGTACAAGTGAATTAATAAAGATAACCGATCTTTGACGGTTTCTATCTCTTATGTGTCTTGTTCGACAGCTTTTTTTTCTCTTATGTTCCCTTCATCTCGCTTTCTCTCTTACCTCTATGCATAAGACAATATATATTACAATTTACAACAGTTAATAAATTTTCGCTAACCGAAAAATCGGCCCGGTATTACCATTTTTAGATATTTACAAAAATCGAGATTAGTGAGTTAATTTATTAATCAATAATTACATTAGTCAATTTAAAATTATATAGGTCGTGCTTGTTTATGAAAAGACTAGAAAAAAACTGTTTCTTTTTTCTTGTTTTTTGTGTTAGCTAGAGTTTATTTGAAAAAAGATAGTATAATTAGTTGTGAGTGAGATTTTAAGAATGTATTAAAATAACATTTAAATAAAATGATTAAAATTGATTTGATGTAAAAGTAAAAGATGATTTAATGTAAAATAACATTAGAAATGATTGTAAATGACATGTAGTCAAGATTATATGAGTGAATGAATAATGAATTAAAGTTGATGCATAATAGTGATTATTAAATGATATTATTTAATTATATTAATATATTGTGGATAGTGAGATACTCATGAAGTTGAGTTAGATTTTAAATTGAGACTAGTACGACACCCGTGTACTACACGGGTTGTTTGAAAAAAAAATATAAAACATAAAATAATAGAAAAAACACATGTTGTATAAAAGTGCAAAAATAGAAAATATCAAAGTTGATATTATTTCAAATTTTGAAAAATTTCTTTGTACACAACATTAATAGTTTTATTTACAATTTTTCCATCTTTATTGCAACACAGAATTTTCAAGTCTCTCATACAATTTTTGTAAGATGAATAATCAAGATGAAAGAGAGTCAGAATGGAGGAGATGGTGATTTAAATAATGTAGAGAACAACTACACTTTATCCACTTAATTTAATAATAAATATAATTTTAGAGAGGATCAGATTAAACAAAAATATATTATATTAAGCAATCCGATTTTTTTTTTTGTCACAAAGATTATTGGAGGACCAAAAATCCTATTTACACCGCATATAAGAATCATATTTATTTTAGAGTTGGAGGAGATCGGATTAAGCAAAAAAATCGTATTTATTAAGTATTTTATTTTAAATAATTAGAGAATGTATCTGAATCAAAAGCCGAAGTATGTCAAATAAGTTNACCTTATTTTGGCAGTGAAATGCCACGTAGAGTCTTCAAAATTTTGAATTCAAACAAATTTAACGATTAAAGGTAAGTCATAATTGTCAAGTTACATTATCATGTTTTGAAATATATGTACTTATATATTATTTGTAATTCAGCTACAACTAAGTTGGACCTAAACTATAAAGTTCTGCCCTTTTGTCAAATATATATCCGTTCCCCACCAAAAAATGACCGTTGCCGACCCTCCACCACCGCTATATATCCTCTCTCCGCCGTGCCCCCAAATCTCACCTCAAACCTAAACCCCTCTCTCTTGCTCTCTCTCTCTCTCTCTCTCAGAAATCATCGGAATTTCCGAGAAATTATAACAATTAACCGAAAAAGAAATGGGTCTGACGGTAGATAACGGCGGCGACTCGGCCACCCACACCCACAAGGTGTTCCTCCTCACCAACTACGCCATCATCGGCGCCGCCTCCAGCTGCATCTTCCTCACCCTATCCCTCCGCCTCATCCCCTCCCTCGCCGGCGCCTTCCTCGTCCTCCTCCACGCCGTAACCATCGCCGGCGCCGTCTCCGGCTGCGCCGCCGCCTCGCGCGGCGGCGGATCCAGGTTCTACGGGGCCCACATGGTGGCGACCGTCCTCACCGCCATTTTCCAGGGCTCCGTCTCGGTACTGATCTTCAGCCGGCCGTCGGATTTTCTTGGACATCTCAAGTCGTACGTCCGGGAGGATGACGCCGTCGTCATATTGAAACTCGCCGGCGGGCTGTGCGCGGTGATTTTCTGCCTGGAGTGGGCGGTGCTGACGCTGGCTTTCTTTTTGAATTATTACGCCTACGTGGAGAGGAGAGGCGATTGTGGGAATACCAATAGTTATGGGGCGAGAAGTGGGAAAGTCCAGGATGAGGTTGATTTGAGGACTCTGCCATGGCAATTTCAAGTTTGATGCAGATTATATTGATTATTTTCTAATGCTTTGGAGAAAAGCCTGGGAATTTTTTTGGGATTTGTTTGTATTTTTATTTTTTTGGGTTATTTATGAATATTGGAGTGGTTATTTGTTCATTCATCTTTCTCTTTGAATAAAAAAATGAGTTTGCATAGATGAGATTATTTTTTATCAAGGTGAGTAGCAAAATATTTCTATTCATTAGAACAGAAGTTTTTACTTTCTATAGCCCATTGTGATATACTGAAACTTGAAATTGGTCCAAGAGCAGAGAGCAGAATCTTGATAAAAAATAGCACAGTTTATTTTGTCACCCCATGAACACAGAGGGCATTTTTTATCAATTTCACGGCTTCTGTCTTGTGACTTGTGTGTGCTTTTATCCTCCGTAGACCTGTTTATCATTTAGTGTGGTTTAGGTCTCCGGCGAAACATAGCCAACATTGACGGCACGAGAATCAAAATCACATTAGCTTGTCTATCTTTCTTTTGATAAACATCTAGATGATTGATGAGAGAAAATAGGCAAGAACGTTTTATCTGCGCATAAATTCACGAAATTTTGTTTATCAGAATCTTGGAATTCTGAGAAGGGAAAGATGAAAAATTTTGTTGCTGTCTTGTGTATTTTCATTTTTTTGTATCTTTTTTTATCTAATTTTATAGTGACTAAAGTTCTTGGCCGTCAGATGTCTTTTTAATAAATTCAACGGTACAGATCACACAACAGATATTTGCTGTTTAAAGGCTCACTGCAGAGGCCCGGATCCATCATCACCCTCCTGAGACTGGTGAAGTGGTGATCAGTACACAAAAATAAATTCAAAAAAATTAAAAAAAAAAAGTGAAAGAAAATTGTTTCAGAAATGTCAAGTTCGAATCCTACCGATGGAGTTGCAGCTGCCAATCTGCCGCGCACATTCAAGTATTTGTTAGGTTTGTTGATTTTGCCTTTACCAATCAATATCCGTTTGAGTCGATGATTTTTTTTCATTTTTTGTTTTTTGAATATGCGTATGATGCATGTGTATAGCTACGCAGTTTCTGTCAAGGGGAATCCCTTTCATCTTCAATTCATGGATTGTCAGACACCTCTCTGAAGAAGATTATGCGGTAATTGTTTCTTTCACAGCTCAAATTTTATGTTTTTCACGTATTGGGAACTGGGAAGGCACTGTACGTTGACTAAATCATGTTGCTTAAATGCAATCTTAGAAATTGAACTGCATTTTGGGTGGATTGCCTGAACAAAGACTCGTTCTTGAGTCCTCCAAGATGATTGTTCTTTTGCTCATTATGCTTGAACAATGTAATATTTGAATTCAACTGGATGATTCTTAGACTTGTTTTGAAGAGATGTATCAATTTTTTGTAATGATACTTCATTATATATTTATATTTGTACATAAAAGGTATGACCATGTTGAATTTTGTTTGAAGTGTGGTTGTATTACATTGTTTGAGATTGGTTATACATGTTAGGCACTTGGATATTATAGATGGAAGTTTGAGGGACATATGGAGCATTGGTCCAAAGGATTGTTATTTATCACATTTTGAGATCTCACANTATAAAATTGTAAAAAAAAATAAAGAAAAAGAAAAAGAAAAAATTGAACTCATATTCAGATTTCTGAAAGTGAAGATTTTTTATATTTTGATTTTTTATCATCGGATCAAAACTATTGCAAATGTGCCAGTGTCTTGAGTTCATATGTAACAGCACTCTTTGACATTTGTTTTTGTGGTTCCTTGTTAGCTGGCGCTACCTAACACTCCATATTTATTGAAATGTACAGTTGTATGCGGTACAGTTCCATCTGTTTGTTACCTGTGTATTATTTCTGAGTAGGGAAGGATTCCGGAGAGCGTGCATGAGGGCAGATTTCAGGTGGGAACCGTGAATGCTTCAAATATGGTGTTACTATTTTCAATACGTTAATTTGATCCTTCCTCTTATTCCTGTGTCAATTACTTGATTGTGTTCAGTACTTTGGATTTAGTTTCTTTCTTGAAGCTGTTAAATTTTAATGAAGCAATGAACTCAATATGGTGAAAGTATCGTGAAGTTCCCACCTTGTACTTCTCATATAACAATTCTATCTTTCTTATGGTAGAACAAATACATGATGCTAATTCCAATTTGTTATAAAAAGGTGCTAAGAAGCTCATGGACTTGGGTTTTTCATAAAAATTCTCGTCCAGAATATGCCTGTGGAAAATATAAGATTGTAAACTGATCCCATCTTTGCCATTTAAAGCCCATACATGTTTTTGTACTTTGTACACAAATTGTATTAGCCTTCATATCTTTTTCTAGGCATTAATGTCTCCCTGATAATTTTCTGATGGAAGTATGCCATGCAAACTTATTCATGACTATCTAGATTATTTGGATTTTTTGAGTATAATTTTGTAGTTGAGATTTCTGCATCTTGCAGTCATAATGGTTCAACAACAGAAGCAAATGCTGCTAAACTGTTGAAAGTGGCCTGGATGACTTTCCCATTAGGGATACTGGTGACATTTGCAGCATGTTTGTTTGTATTCTGGTGGCAAGGCCTAAGTTACTCTAGTCCATATGCAAAAGCTATCTTGATTAATGGTAAGCCACGAACATGATCACAGGCTTTATTTATTTTAATTGTCTAAGTTCACTACAAGGGATATTATAGTATTCCAGGACATGAGTGGCTGGGTTTGGAAAACGTGAAAATCAGTTAATTCCAAAATAAGATGTAGAACTTTAAAAGAATTTCAATGTGTAGTTCTAGCTTAACTGCCAAAGATAGAAAATTGCAACATCAAATATTTTGTTCTTTTTAAAGTTCAAGTGTTCCGTTTTAGTTGATTTTCAATCATCTGCTGGTGTTTTCATTAGTGTTATACCTGTTCTTAATGTAAACATATGTGTTGTTTTATTTGTTCATTGACTGATGGGAGTTTAATTTAGATTCTATTTCTGAAATAAGAGACCATTGCCTAGATGCTATATTTTTGTGCGTCAGTCATTTAACTTATGATTCACTGGCTTAAGATGTAAGTTCTGTTCCATAAATGCTTCTTTTAACACTTCTGAATTAATATGTTCACACAAATGCAGGTTTTGCATGCATAATTGAGCTGCTGGCAGAGCCTCTTTATATTTTGTCCCAGACCTTGGTTCTGCTCAGATTGCGTCTTATTGTTGAAGCTGCAGCCACTCTGTTCCGCTGTATTGTAACTTATGTCCTCATCTTGAAGCAACCGAGCCTGGTACAGTCGAACTCTTAGGAGGCTTATATTCCTTTAATGATACAGTTGAGCAAGAGAATTGTAATATTTCATATTACGCGTGTTTATGTTGCTTTACATAGTAACTATAATGGAAATCTCATATATTATCATGGATAACACTTTTGGGTTGTGATAGTGAGGATGCTTGNTTAAGGATTTTGTCCATTGCAAATGGAGCTGGAAGAGTCATTGTTGACAATTCTCCTGGCATAGTGCTAATAATGGACTAGATCAAAATGGCTCAATTAAATTCTAGTGCTTCTTCTATTAGTGAAGTTTCTACAAAAAAAAAATATCAAACGGCGCAATGCACCTTAAGTCGCTACGGAAACAGCCTCCTTGTATAATTACAAGGGTAAGGTCTGCGTACAACTGACCCCCCCAGACCCCAACCTGTTGGGAATATACTGGGTATGTTGTTGTTGTTGTTGTTGTTGTTTGGATATTAAGGATGCTTTTTAAGAGTGTCAAACTTCAAATTTTAGTCATCTGGAGTTTTCCATTCTTTCAACCTTCAAAGTGAATCTTGACTTGGTGAGGCTGATTCAATTCCTTTAAAACATGTTGCCTTGTGTTTGTTTCATTTGTCTTATAGTTCTTTCTGTGAAAGTGTTGATATGTATTTTTTTCTGGTGTTCCAAACTATGATTATTTTCTTGATTCACCAAATTCTATTTAGTACACTCATATATTCTGTGCTTTGCTACTTCACTGTTCTCATGCTTATTTTCTCTTTTCATGTCTACAAGTCAAGTTTGTAACTGCTGACTGACTCAACCATTGTTTGCATTTCAGGAGAAAGCAATTGTATTTTCCTTGTCACAGGTTGCGTATGGAGCATCTATTTTCTTAGGTTATTGGGGCTACTTTCTTTTATTTCGAGTTTATAGAATAACCGTTCTGTTTCCATTGAGGTACTAATTTTCTTTTCTAGCTTCATCATTATCTTCAGAAGATGAAGTAATTTAATCAGTACAAGTTTTCTTTTTTTATCCAATTCTTCAATAGCAGTGTCAAAAAGGTTATACCCGGGCAATGTAACGGCTGTTCTCTTATAATTTTCTTATAATGAAGACTTTTGTTTTCCAATGTGAATACAAAATGTTTTTCATAAGCAAAATGCTTTCAATTTTTATATGTAAACTGATAGAACTATTGCAGGATATGGAACAAAACAGGGTATGACAGACCGCTTGCAAACATGTGTATGATTTTCACTTTTCAATCCTTCCGAAAGTTGATTCTTCAGGAAGGTGAGAAGATGGTCCTTGTATGGCTGGATACACCATATAACCAAGCTGTCTATGGGCTTGTGGACAAATTAGGTAGGTCCATGATTATTTCGCCAGCATTCAATGTATTAAGGAGGAATTTTTCATTAGGAAGTTGCTTGCATTTTGGAGTATTCTGAAAGATAACTGCTTGATCTCTCAGGGAGCTTGGTTGTGAGGCTGGTCTTTCTTCCGTTTGAAGAAAGTTCTTATGCTACTTTTGCAAGGTCTGCATCAGGTTCACCTCTCTCCTTTTGTGTATTAATCTTTTCTGTTCAAATTCTACAAATATCCAAGAATTCATTATATCATTTCCATATAACCCTCCGCAAACAATGTGTAAATTCTAAAGCATTATCTGAGTTGGAATGGGATGTCATGTAGAAAGATGGTTATCTAAATCCGAAGAACAGTACTGGCTTGAACGCCCAAAATTATAGACATCCTGTTATTATTGATGACAGTTTAGTTTGGACTAGTGATTTCAAGCTGTTAACTTAATTTGCATGCAGGTGATTACAAAGAGAAAAAGAGGAACCTGGCAAGGAGTCTGACTGATGCGCTGAAGCTTGTTTTGCTGATAGGTATCTTACTTTGCCTCAGATTTCTCATAGCTTGTTCCAGCAAGAGGGTGTTCGGCTGAGCTTATAGTCACTGCAGAACATCTTATAAGAATTTCACTGCTTATAAGCTCGTGTAAATAAATGAAAGACAATTTACTTCCAAAAATAAGCTCCTAAAGAGCTTATAAACTTCTAAAGAAATAGCTCTATGACAATGACCGCGCGTCGCGACGCGGCAAATTTAAATTTATAAAGTTTTTCTATACTAACCTCTACTAACTAATAGTAGCGGCGAGTAAGGGTCGATCTCACGAGAAGTAGGAATTTAATTGCGACAATCTCGTATTAATTGAATTATAACTATGAAGGAAATAAAAAAAGGGGGATTGGCTTGATAAAAAAAAAAATAACAAAATTAAATTAAATAAAATAAAATAAGAGAAGTCCAGTTTTCGGTTCAGTTATCACCCAATCTAAATCTACCGTTAATCAATTTCGACGCTTTCTTTAAATTGCTAATGAATTATCAACCCTAGTTAACAACAAACTCTGTTAACCGAATTTTCCCTTACCCAATATTTAATCGAAACAAGCTCTTCGACTAAACCTAATTAGCAGACAACCTAGAATAAGCTCTCTAGATTTAGTGCACTAGCAGCATTAATTCTTAGGAAAATAGATTAATGTAAGCAATAGACACAAAAGCTCGGTCCATTTAACTTATGTTCACGCTACCCTAGAGATGCACGACCCCTAGTTTACTACTAACGAAACGAGAACAATAACAATTACGGATTAAAGTCTCGAATCTAGCAGTTAAACAATGAATATTCAACCTAACTGGCCAAACTAAATCAAACACCATAATTCATAAACGTTACACATAGATAGCATGAATCAACTCATCGACAAAATAAATACGGTGTCTCGATTAATCAACGATAAGAAATAGATCCTTCAATTCATAGACAAATTAAAGTTAGGGTTCAAACATCCCCTAAAACTGGATAACTGGATAAAAGTCTAGCTTAACATACTAATAAAATAAATAATAAAAGAGAAAAGAGAGAAGATAAAATTATCTCCCTCTTGTGTGCGAGTGCGGCTTCCCCGCGTGTGTAGCCTCGCCTTTTTTCGACTATATGTCCGGCTGATGCTATTTTTTTCTTCGTGCGTGAGTTCTTTTCTCTTAAGTTATCTTTTGTGCGTGAGTGGACTCTCAACAAATAAGTCCCCAACAAATTGCATACTCTTCAATCTCCATTTTGATGGCCACGTGGCTCGCCACCTCATTTTTGTAATCCCTCCCTATATATTAATTGAGAACGTGCTGAGCCTATGTGGCAGGCTCGCATGCTAGAACGTGCTGAGTCTATGTGGCAGGCTCGCATTCTTCGGGATCCTATGTGGCAAAAATATATGCTTCGTTATTAGGCTTGAGTAGATTTAGTTTACTTCTAATCCAAATATATTTAGGTTCGGATTATCTATAATATTTTGATTATTTATGGTAAAGGTGGGCGCCGGCCGGGACGGTCTTGGATTTGACTTGTCCGGATACCCATCCCACTTTTATGAATCCGTCCATGAACGAGGCACCGTCGCCACCCATGTAATACAGGGTGTTGTACTAGTTGCCCTTTATTTTAAAAACTTCCTCTAATCATGAATTTGGGCCACTTTTGTATAATCTGCCATCTGTAACCAATATTTTGGCCGAAAATGGGTTGATATTGGAGGCCCGATAATCAATTACGTAAACTCCCATCTAATGCTTCGCGTACAGAAAATATTCCAATGAGCTGAAAATAAATATAAAAACTTCAATATGTATGAATCCATTCAAATAATAAATAGGTCAAAAAATACAAATGTGCGATTAAATTAAGCATATAAAAATACACTATTAAATATATAAAACACGCACATTTTCCGACCTATCAGACAACTTTTTCTATAAAATCTCTCAACCCCCCTCCTTAATAATACCATGTAAAAACTTCGCACATTCACACTTTCCATTTTAGTCAAACACTTCAACATCTTATTTTGAAATAAGATTTAATATCTAGCTTAGCTTATCTTCCTCATCAGCATGCATGAACGAGAATAAACATCTTGCTTTATATAATTACCGGCAAAGTTGTATATTGTCAAAGTTCCAATTAATCTTCAATGGAAGTGGATAACGCCAAGTTTAGAAACAGTGAACAAAAATACCTTGTATTATTAGAGTAGTGAAGATGATATATGGCTCTAATGACAGAAATAATAGTACCAAGTATAAAACGGGATTTTTCTAGACTGGAAAAAATTAATGCATTCACTGGTTGTTATAATGTGAAGAATAACCTTTTTAAATTTCACACAATGGCATATTTGCTGGCAATGTGTATTTAATTCTTTTCTAATTGTCACTGTTCTTTTATTGGTTAGGTTTGGTTGTGATTGCATTTGGTCCAAGCTACTCTTATTCTCTCATCAGGTTGCTTTATGGTAGGAAATGGAGTGATGGAGAAGCTTCAACTGCACTCCAGTGTTATTGCCTTTACGTGATTGTGTTAGCCATGAATGGTAAATGGTTAATCATATAACTCTGCATTTTCTTTCCCTT